TGCCAAACTACATAAACTTAAAATATCGAAAAATATACAGCGCGCGAATTTTAAATGAGAATTTCCGAAAACTTTTCGGTCTTAATGTAAAAGTCTGTTGCGTTATGGTTCTACGGAAAATTTCATTATAGGAACAATAGATCTTGTCTTTGGAAATTTTTGATTGTAAACTAGTATTATTTATTATTATTGACATGTTCTATCATTACTTCAAAGGGGTAAATTAGGAACTTAGTCTATTTACATAGTATTTCCACAAATCTCGGTTTCTAGCAATATGTCTAAACTGATTAAGTATAAATATTTCAATTTGACGTCACTATGAATCTCTGTATTAGATGGGAATACGTTAGTTAATTCATACACAGAGTATAAAAGTGCAAACATTATACATATATATATCAATAAGCGATTCTGTTATGCAGTTAGTTATATGACGAATGATCATGACCAAAATGCATGTTATGCTAAGAATCATATCAATATATTTAATTTCCTATTTTTACTACTAGATATGCTCACTTTTGCCACCAAAAATGAACACCAGAAAAAAACTTATAGAAGGTGAAAAAATGTTAATTTATTAGATTATTTTATAATAGTTGTGAAATTTTTTTTCTGCTACTCTCAATTTTTTAATTTGCCTTGAAAGCAACAACAATTTTAATTTTGACGTGCCCATATAATATTGAGTCATAGTAGTTTAAATGACGTCATTGAAGAATGGTTCTAAAAAAAATTGTAGGACTTGCAAACATTTTTTAGTGTTCATTATACCAAAAAAAAGTTATAATAATAGTAAGATATTAATAAGGGCCATGGCGTCGTTAGGTCCCCCCTTGCTAACACCATTACAACTTATGTGTAATGAAAAATAAAGTTAGGAATTTTTAAATTTCATTGGATTGTACGAAAACTGACAGGCTTACCAACACCGCGTTATTGAATCTCAGAATGGTTACAGGCTCTTTGAGGAGGTATGCAGATCTGAGGTCAATTATTGCTTAGTCTGATGAAGTCATAAGCAATAACCCAGTCAAGGCGTAGAGAGGGGTTACGAAGAAACCTCGTAGCTAATACAGAGTAAAAGTGCTCAAGTGCATTGACTCATATATATTATATGTATATATTATTATATTATTATATACATATAGTATATGAAACACTCCTAGCGTTTTGAACTTGTTATATTTCAGTAGGTAGTAAGCAAAGTAATTTAATAAGTAATAAAGTAGAAAATGAAGGATGCTATTGTATGATGTCAGCAAGCTATTAATCGGGCTGACTGGCGGAGGCTACTTGACGGGGCCAAGGGCTATGCCCGTCTGTAATGGCCAACTAAATTCTATGATGATAAGAAATAACTTGTTACAATTTTTAGCAAACATTGTTGATTGCTTAAAACTATTTATTTAAAATTTAATTAATACATACACAAGAAAAATTTTATAAATCATATTACAATTATCTATTTTACTCTCACACATTTTACATACATTTTTCAAAAATATTTCGTTGTTTTTATTAAACATTAATCGAAAATTTTACTTAATAATATTATAAGAAATTAAAATTATACAAAGTGAATTTGTTGTAATTTAACTGATACTGTTTCCGCGGCGGCTTAAATAAGAATTCAATTTTTATTGCGAGATTTATTGTGCGTTTAATCATTTGCGTTGCGTTGAGTATAAGTTTGTGGTGGGCTATGAAGTGTTCTAGTTCGGCAGGTGGGGTCTTTCTTTTATGATTGACATTATAAAAAATTTTTATGATGATGAGCTTGCAGATTATGATTTGTTATAACTACAGGTAAAAGCGGTGAAATATTCAATTTAAAAGGTTTTGATATCGTGTCTAGCGACGTGTTCGTGTTTCCTATTACTTTGGATTTTCCGTTAGGAATAATTTCGGAAATTGAATCTATCTGCTGTGCAGCTCCCTTGGTGAATGGTTGTGGTGTTAAATCGAAAATTGTAGATCACTGAATTCGTGGCCAATAATTTGAGCCTGCTAAGTCACTGGCACTTTGTGTTGGTATTTGTACCGGGACAGAGACTCCAGCTGATATAACACCTGCAAAAGTATAGTTATCTGAAATTATTGAAAGCAATTATTCGTGCATTTACGATGTTAAGTAATAGAATATGGTAATATCAAAACTTTATGCTAATTATTACATAATATGTTATATGTTAATTTTATAAAAAAGTTATTGTGTTAGATACGAAAATCATTTCGAAATGTTTACATTATAAAATAGTGTGATTTCTGTACCTGTATTTCCTGTAGTTCCAGTGACACTATTACTTCCGTAAACATGTTGAGGGGGTTGCTGATGTGCTGCTGCTGGATTGCATGATGTTCGTGTATGTGTCGCATAAGGAGAACTTAACGCAAGTGGATCATGAAACATGTATGGATAACTATCACGTTGTTGAAGACATGTGGACGTCATTGAACCCAATGACGTTGTCATAGAACTAAACACATAAATTAATATAAATAAATTTTGTAACTATTTTACACATTTACTTGTAGTTTTCTGCAATTGTCGCAATGGGTTGAGGTATTGAAGAATACATTGAATTGAAACCTGTATTCAGTGGCAATCGTGGTGCTACGGCTTGAAGAGGTGGACTTATAGATGTTGTGTGAGCGCCTTCAACTAGAATTGCTCCCGCTCCATTACTTTGAATTGTGGAGCCAGCACCATTTGAATTTTCTGTTACATTATTTGTTACATTTGGTGTATGACTAGAATTTTCTTGGTTATTATTGCTCATTGTAGTTGGATTTCTACTACTGCTTCTTTCATTATTAGATACATGATCAACGGAACGACGTTGCGTACGAAGTTTTTCTTCCCGTCTCCACTTTGCTCGGCGATTAGAAAACCATACCTACATTGTTCAAGAAAGTTAAACGTTATGAGTAACTAGAAAATTCTATATTAGCACATAAAGCATTAAAAAACATTGAAATCAAAAAATCATGTTCTATGTATAATAATATAAAGCACATTAAAATTTATGAAAACTGCACCATATTTGAAAATATAGTTAACCACAAATGAAAACTTAAATGACAGTTCAGTGGTTGTTAAAATCCCTGTCCAACTATGGCAGGTTAATTTAGGCGCCTCTTTTATAAATTAACCTTGCACTGCCGTTCCATGAATACAACGAAATTAACAAGACTTCTGAAACTTTTTTTATTTACTGAACAGAAATCAAAATGAATTCCGGTTTATTTTACAAAAATTGTTGTATTTTTATTGTTCCAGCGTTAATTACTAAATGAATCAATATTAGTGATAAAAGCATTTAGATAAAAAATTGTAGTTGAAATATTTCACGCTGGTATATATATAGGCTTAACTAGGTATAGGTAACATATCAAAGTATTTTTGCCATCACTATGGTTGTGGTTATGTCTATATGTTTATGTAGAATATAAGACGCAATACGAAAATAAAATTTTTAGCAGCTTACTAGATAGAGTTATAAAAGCGTTTTAAAGCTTAGTTGTCTTGACCTATCAATATTAGAGATCATGACAACATATTAAGCTCATTAATTGTTGATTACTATTAGAATAATATATTTCATTTCTTAATAAGCGAAATATAGTCAAAAGCAGTGTAGTCAAAAATACATTTCTAGATTTAGAAAGATACATGTTGAATAATATGGGCAGTCGCATAGAACGTGTTCTGCTGTTTCCTGTTTCTCTTGACAGAGTCGGTAGAAATCGTTTTCTGCTAGACCAATCTTTT